GGCACCACTTCTGAAGCTTTTGTTTTTTGTGCAAATGAGTATTCTTACCAGAAAACCGTGCTACACTTCTTACAAGATCTTTCTATTAAAAACCATGTCGAATTATCGGAAAGCGATATTTTAAGCCTTATGAAAGCAATGTGAATAAGGTTGTGTCTTATACTAAACTAGTTTAAACTCGAATAAAATTTTTTGATGGGAAATTGTGGTCTAAACCGGCTAAATGAGTTCAAATATTTAATAATGAGTTAATATTTCATTTAAAATTTTATAATTTTTTGGCGATAATGCCGTTAATATAGAATTATTAAAAGAGGAATTCTTGAAAACTTATTCAAAATTCATTTAAAAATATTTATTTGAATAAAATCTATTATATTTATTACAAAATGGTCAGATATAATTTAATGGATAGGGGAGTTTGCGCATCAAATCCCTTTCCATGTATGTAATACTGATTGATAAAAACAACAATATAAGGACAAAAATTTTAAAACTGCTGTGCAGAAACTGGATTCAAAATATATCAAAAAGGAGCTTACAAGAATACTAAGTGTCGCGTGATTCACAAAAACCAGCTCTCTGAGTCAGCGAAAACGTGGAGAAGAACGGACGAAATTGAGCTAGCTGAAGCACAATATACATACAACGACATCTACAGAGAAGCACCAAATCGAGACAGATTTATTGAGGCTCTATGCCACACTTGGAGAAATAGATAATAGTAGTAGTAGTAATGTGACGGTGTAAATATAATCTAGATGAGTTTTCATCGGATTGTTCTAGGTCGACTTCACTGGTACCCCATTTTTAAAATGGAACTTCTTTTTTTGATTTTTTTCTCATTTATTGAATAACGCCAGCTCTTATCGAAGTACAACCAATTTAAAATAAATTATGTATATAAAAAATTAATAAAAGAATAAATGCTAGAGCTTTAATGAACAAATGAGATCGTTAGATATTTCTAATAAGATATTAAAAATATTTATGTTATATAATTACATTTATATTTAATTATATATATATTAATTACTTAGATATATACTAATTATTTCAACGGCACCTTGGATTTATGGTGATTTGATATTGACCACATTGGCTTAAAAAACTATTTAAAAATTTACTATATCGAAATAAATTTTGGAAATAATTAGTAAACCATTTCAATAAATGAAGTTCAATTAGTCTAAATTAGATATTAATCAATATAGCAACGAGTCCAATAAAATGCCGTGTAAAGAAACTACATAGATAGAATGAGATTATAAGACTTATTGTGACATAATTAGATAAATTCAAAATCCAATAATGACCCATAACTGAAGGTATGTATTTGAGATATAAGAGACGATAATAGGTCGCTGATACACATATATAATGCATTTCGACTATACTATTAAGGCTTTATCTCAAAAAATAAATGCATACTTATATATAGTATGAAGATTTTAAGGACTTGTGTTGCTTACTAATTATTGCAAGCTGCCTAGCAGTGAGAACCGAAACTCGCGAGCCGAAAGGAAATGTAGATAGAGTTCTTTAGAGACAGCGCCGTAAAAACATGACATTGGAAATTAAGTGCTCTTGCTGGTAACATGCTTAAGAATACTAACTCGATACCTACAACAAATAAACGAATTAAAAGGTTTCCATTAAGTATCATAACCATAAAACATAAAACAGAAATTTATTCTTGCAGATTTTTGATTTAGTGATATCATAGGTTTTTAAGTACTTAATCAAATACTTTGGAAAATTATTTCTTCGATTTTTGATTTAGTAATTTTAACTCTTAATAATTCTTAGTAGTTACCTAAATCCCTTAAAAAATAAAGAAATCTTTTAAAGAGAAAGGCATTGAACATATTTTTTAATTGCCATACAAATGTGTGGTCAAAATTTTTAAGCTTATTGCGAGCTTTAATCTATACAATTCATCCTAAAATCCCTTAAATACAAGATATGAGTAAAGATTTGGCCGGTTTATATATCATGTTATTTATTTTTAAATTATTTATTTTTTAAGAGAATAACTCTAGTTTCTTAAGCATGGAATTTTTATTATATTATACATTGATTATTAAAGTATCTATTTTTATATTTTATGTATATTGAAATTTAAATAAGTCTACTTTATACTATCCAACAAATACACCGTAGTTTACATGACATAAGATATCTCAAAAAAGCATTAAACTTTATTTGAAGAAGTCCTTCTCAAAATGTTATCCTTCCACAGTGTGTTGTATTGACGTGTTTACTACCAAGCACTTATCGGTATAATTGAAAAACTTTCTTAGAACTTCTCATTTGCATTCTGTCTCAAACCAACGGAAAACACATTTGTACAAGGACGACACATATCCTTTTTGAGTTCCTGTAATAAAGTAGAAATGTGTTAAAAAAAGTTGTTTTGAAAATTTGAATTTTAAATTTAATTTTGTACAAATACAAAGGAAATCCTTAGCAGTTAACATAAAAATATCTCAGAAAATTGAGTTTAAATAGCTGAAAGCAAATAGAATTTTTTATTGAAAGAAATTATTTATTTTTCAATGTTTATTTTGATAATGTAAAAATATAAAAAAAATATTTACAAAATTAAATTTCTGTAAATTTTATTAACAGCTAAAATATTAGGCTACCAACATCATTAATAAAATTAATAAAATTCATTAATTAAATCTTGGAGTTTGATATCTACATCTTAAATATAAATTATCCACACCCCTCACGCTACTTTACATTTCAGCAAATTGCATTTAAATTGAATACACGCTGGCATATCCTTAAGGATTTACAGAGCGTATTTTAATGCTTAAGAAATAAACATTTAATTTATTATATTAATTAAGGTTCTACTGCGTTCGGTGCGCTTAAATAGAGCGTCTTAAATTTGCGTACCGGGGACGTAAATATTCCTACACCTACGCCATATGCTACGTCCTTTGTTGAGAGAAGACAAAGTATTTGTTTCTTAAGATTTGGCTTATTTAAATTTTGGTTTTCCAGATACAAATACAGACGAAAGCATTTTAATTTGTAAGTTGATTTCGGTGTATTGTTTAGAAGCGGAAATACTCACATAACCTAACATTTTCTGATTTGGCATTTTTAATACCAACGGAAAACGCCGCGAATTTCATTTGAATTTTTTTATTTAAACCAAAAATTTGTAACTTAGATTACAATTTTAATGATGAGATTTATAAAATTCTGTTAAGCGTCTTACATTTTTGACGGAATTTTTGGAATTTAAATATTTGAAAACGCTTTAAGGTAAACACGCTCTGTAGTCACACTTTGAAGTAAACAGAAGTATATATTTTTTAATTTAAATGTAACTTCTTTAACATTACCACACATAGCGTTGACCTTGCTTCCAGACTATCGGTCATAAGTTCTTAACCTGCATTGCCATCTTAAAAAGATGAGTCATATCTGCCACATAAATATGATGTCCACATATATATATATATCGGAAATGTTTGCTATTCAATATATGCGAATACTTGGGCGTATACTTTGGCAGGAGCTGCAGCTCCCGGGTGATGTTATGAACTTATCAAAGCTGTAATTCTTTCTTTCTGACTTATAGTTTGTCTGAGGTGACAAAATGTGGTATCTGGAAATGAATTGAATGCCAACATATATATAGCGAGAATATTTACTGTTCAACTTTTTCGAATACTTGGAGCGAATATTTTGGCGGGAGCTGCAGTTCCCGGGTGATGTTATGAACTTACAAACCGGTAATTCTTTTCTTCTGACTTAAAGTTTGTCTGAGGTGACAGAATATGGTATCTCCAATATGAATTAAATGCCCACATATATATAAAGCGAGAATAGTTACAGTCCAACTTTTTCGAATACTTGGAGCGAATACTTTGGCGGGAGCTGTTGTTCCCGGATGATGTTATGAACTTATTAAAAAGATGATTTTTTCTTCTGGTGTCTACAAAATGAATTGAATGCCAACATATATATAGCGAGAATATTTACTGTTCAACTCTTTCGAATAGTTGGAGTGAATACTTTGGGGGGTTCTACTGTTCCCGGATGATGTTATGAACTTTTAAAAAAGATAATTTTTTCCTTCTGCTTTAAAGTTTCTCTGAGGTGGCAGAATGTGGTGTCTGCCATATGAATATGGCTGAATGTTTTCAATTGGCAAACATTTTAACAGAGGATTCTGTTCCCATCTTAGGTTATGAACTTATCAAAGAGGTAATTCTTCCCTTTTGCTTTAAAGGTTGAATCAATTTTGTTTGGTTAGCGTTGGGTATATCACAAAAGACCTATTGTAATCTGTTATACTAGTAACAGAGTTTTTTTTAGAGTTTTGTAAAAAGTGTAATAGTAAAACTCATAATACTATAAATAATGATTTATTTTAATTACTTAAACTATATACTAAGTTTTAAGTCTGAAATCACACTTTACTTTGATATTTTATTCTGTATTATTCGGATTCTGTATTAAATTGGGTTCTTAAATTAATATAATTAATTTCTTTAAGAAAACTTCATTTATCTAAAATGTTTGTTATTAACAAAAAATTAAAGTTTCTGTCATTGTTGTGTAGTAAGCCCTATCATCCCTAAATACAATTATTATGATCATATTTTCTTACATCATCTTATTAGCCTTCACTTTTTTAGAATTCTCTTTTATGTGACACAAACAGTCCAAAAATTTTATGCGAGCATTTCAACGAAAATATTTTTTTTAAGGCCACTGACTATAGAGACTTTGGCGGTATACAAAACAGCTATATGCCTTGGTCAAGAATTTAGTTGGTTATAAATTTGAAAGTTTTTTGTATTTAAAAATATCCTCACTATTGTCGCCTTTTCATTTGACAATACAGATCTGATATATAAGTCTACAATTTCGTTTTAAATTTAAGTAAAATCGAATATGTTGTCATAGAGAAGATTGTCAGTGATTTGATAACTAACAATAAAAATTAAATTTATGAAAATTTAAAATATTTACATCATTGAGTTTATTGTAGCAAAACTTTTGTGACTTTCAAAATTGATAATTGTTTTTAGTTAGTGTGAATAGAATTCACTATGAAACGTCAAAACCGCCCATCGACAACATCATCTGACAGCAGTCGAAAATTGTCTTCCATTTTAGGAACGTCAGATTATTCTTTATCTTCAAGTGACACTATTACAAACTCGTCAGAAACTACTAAGAGATCCACTTCATCAAATACGAGCAACAGTCTTTTGCAAAAGTCTGACCCTTCAGTGTCATCGAATGATACTACGTCGTTTTTTTCTCAATACAGCAGTAGCAAAGCCTCAAATACAAGTACCCGCTCTCGTCAATCAACATCTGATACAACCATTTCATTTTCAACGTCAACAGTGAAGACAGCTAAAAAATCTGTGATCACTCAAGCTAAAGCACCTGATAAGGTACCTGATAAAGAACCTGATAAATCAATTGCTAAAACTACTGCTGAAACAACTGCAAAAGCAACTGTTAAATCAGCCACTAAAGATAGCCGTCGAACATTATCTCCTGATGATGACCCAACCACTACAACCCAGCCGAGCACAAATCCAGCTAGTTCCGATATCACTCGTGCTGAGGTTTCGAAGTTTGCTGACTACGTGGAGGATTTTGATAGAGAAAACTCAATATATAAGATTAAGATTTTAGTGGCTGTTGCTGTCGCTGTGCTCTTGGCAATATTTTTTTTTTATTTGTACAAATCACGCCCAAAAAAGTATATTAACGGAAAGAGGATTGTAACCTTTTTAGGCGGTCACTGATTTGATTTTGTGGATAAGAATTAATGTTGATCTTATCTGATTTGGTGGATAAGGAATTTTGTCGACTACACACAGAAGTTGATCATGGACTTGGCAAAAAATATTAAAATTAAAATTTGGTAAAAATTACTTAAATAAATTTAATGTTTAGGTCACAAAAAAATACTTTTGGTGATATATATTTTTTTAACAATATTAATATAATGAATGCAGAAAGTTCAAGGAATTGGGTTTTAAAGAAATTATTCAACATTTACACTGTTTTGACTGAAATTGTGTGAGGGGCTGAACTTTGTGCCTGACATTGACTCAATATTCGCTTTTGAATCAAATTGTGATATGATTGCCTCTACGAATCTATATGGCTTATGTGTAGACTCGACCAGTCAGTTGTATTAGCTTGCTGTAGAGAAGTATGCTAAAATGAGATGCTGGTGAGGTATATTATATTTCTATACAATACTAAGAGCAATAATCCATAACTGCATTTGTAAATTAATACTGTATTTATTTACTTTTACCTTAAAATTTGTTTTAATGTCACTAATATGGTTTTTCTCTGAAAAGTTCGAAGTAAGTAATGATATAGTAACAATGTTAAAGCCATGCATTATTTATTATTTATGGCTAAGTCAATAAAACCCAAAGTATTATGTACTCTGAATCGATTTATTTTTACTCGTACTAACCGCAAAAGCCATAATAACACTTAAAGTGCAAATAAAAGTTTATTTTAATTACCACTTCAGAGAAGCCAAAGTGAAATTATGAAAACGTGAAACGTGCCAGCCATACTGAATTTTCAGTTTAATGTCACATTAGACAATGTCAATAGGATTTGGTCATTAAATTTGGATGCATTGGTTTCCCTACATTTGAAGGGTATGACGATGTCATTAAACCATTAAACGAAGCGATAAAATTCCAACCCTGATTAACAGCGCGAGGATTCTTAATGCGATAATTAACAAATTTTAATAGCTTCGATGCTTATAGTGTGAAAATCCTGTGGCCGGCCATCTCGGTTGAATGAACAATTCAGTGGGTTAAGCATTTTAGAAAAATCCTAATTCGACAGTTGAAATTCAGTTAAATTCGAATAATAGAGAAAACGTGTAATGACTTTATTTGAAAGCATTTCAAAATAATTTCAGCTGTAAAATGAATTTTATTTAATTTAATTGAAGGACAAATTGTTATAAACAATATTTGCTTTAATAAAGTTGAACTAAATTTAGTACAAAATATTGAAGTTTTTATATCCTTCACATTATTTTGGTAACAGTACATTCTTCTTCTTAATTCCTTTATCTCCTTGTGGAGCTTAGGGTCTCTATGGAACAGTACATTAGATTTGTTAAAAAAGTTTGTAAAGATTTGTTAAAAGATTGAATTCAAAAATAATGCTTATTAAGTGGTTCTAAAACATCTCTTACAACTGGAAAAATAATATAGATAATACAAAGCTTCATAAATAAATGTCTGCGACGAATTATAAGGGCTTAGTAGCTTAATGTTAAAACCAATGAAGTACTCTACCAAAAATACTATATCAAGCCAATGGCAATCTTTATTAAAAAAATACTGGATTTGAATCCGCAAGGTAGATGAAAAAGAGGACGTTCAAAAAATTCATGGAGACAAACGCTACATGTTGAGACTAGTGAACCAGAAAAGTCGTGGCACGAATTAAAAGTAATCGAAAACAATGATACGAGGTTTAAATGTATCACTAATGCCCTATATAGTGATTCATGTAGGGCGTTACATGTAGGGCGTTACATGTAGGGCATTACTTGTATCACCTCGTGCAAACAATGATACGAGGTTTAAATGTATCACTAATGCTCTACATAGTGATACATGTAGGGCGTTACATGTATCACCTCGTGCAAACAATGATCCGAGGTTTAAATGTAACACTAATGCCCTATGCTCGTCAAGGAGTTAAAGGAACAGCAACAACAACAACAAATGACATTGCTTCAGTATTGTAACCATACAGTGCTTTATGATTAGGCATGTGCTTAATCATGTTATCAGCAGTGACGAATGCAAAAAATGCAAGTAACCGGGCGTCAAGAATATTTTGGAATATCTTTTCTATTTTTATTCGTTTTTCCCAAAAACTTGTTAAAAATATTTTTGAACTTCATTTCTAATGTTGTGGTGAACACGAAATCTTGTGGCCTGATTATTGAATTAATACGTGTTTTTCTACTTTTCGCTATTAATATTTTAATATATTATTATAAAAGCACATTTGTTGAAAGACGTCCCCATACATACTAAACTAGGAGAACGAACTATCAAAAATTAAAGAATATGACACTACTTTTAGGCAAACTAGTTTCGGATTGCTACTGCGTGTGGTCAAATTTACCTTCCTACCTGGCATACTTAGACATGCTTTGATATAACCAAAAAAACTGTTGAGCATGTTTATATTTTTCTATAATCTTTTCTACAATGTAATTCCATCAAATCTGTGAACCTCATTTGACTTAAAATGAGTGCTCCTCCAAGCGAGTTGTTGGAGTGGAATCAATTCTCTTCAGAATAATGGGCTTTAGCTGTTGAGAGTACTGGAATAGTAATTTATAAGAGACAATTAAAATAAAACAAAAATTTCTATGATTATACCTACACTATTTAGTGTTACAATATTGTAGTAGACTTCATTACATGCTTCATCAAACCCTTTTATGGTCCTTTTGCAGGTTATGAACAAATGAATCTATAATTATATATTCGATTTACTCCATTATTATTGTGCATTAAGCATTTTTAATTTTATGTTGTTTTCTGACGGTTTTTGATGCCATTGGTTGCTTATACCTTTACTATGTAATTTATAATACAAAAGGATGCAGCTTTCAAATTAAAGGATTCAGTATATTACATGTGTATACCAAAAAGATTTCAATATCTTGAATAGTATTGGAGCTAATATTTATTTATATGTTAATAGTATGCAAATGAATCAGAAACATATAATTTCCCAGCATATTTGTCATACCAAAGTGATAAGGAAGATAATCACATGATATACAATTTTTCCAAGAAAATGAATCTATTCATTTACCAACTTACGCAAACCACAGCAAATGCTGCACTGTTGAATTCCAAGAAAACCTAATGTATAATCAGCATTTATTCCTCAATTCCACTTGATTTGATTTGGTTTCAAAAGGAAATCCTGTCGTGCATCATCGCGTTGGTACATTGCGAATACTCAAACGTTATACAAAATATTAAATGAAAAATCTGTGCCGTATGTAAATAACTTTAAGTGTATGTCAATACTTAAATTTTAGATAGATATTTAAATATAATATTAGATAAATATAATATTATAATATTTAAATATATGTGCGTACCCATGTACGCACATATACCTATTAAAAATTGTTCGTTCCATATAAAAAGGTGTTTGTTTTGCTAAGGGCTTAACATCATTAAGATACATATTTATTAATTCATATATATATATACATTATATATACATATGTAGTAATATGAGAATGTAGAATGAATATATAGAAAATGTGATACATAAGTATTTTTGCTTAAGTGTAATTTCGTTGTAATATACATATGCATTATATTAATACAGAATTATTATTAACATATTTTTTCGAATAACTATTATAATATTTTTGATTAGAAAAATATATGTAACGTAGATAAATTACACAGCAATCTTATCTACCCTTATTTATACTATAAGATAGACCATTATTATTCGTTTCATTATTGTGGATTCATGAGCTGTCTAAATAATTTTATATATGTATTGGTTCCTGTCACTCCCGATTGGAGCAAGCTGCTCTTCCATGTATGCGCAGGGTGTTCTTTCCTTCGGCTACTTTGCGGACTCTAGTTAATGAATTTTTAGGCAATGTCAATGTTGAGGGTCTTCTTAAGGTGTGCCCAATCCAATACCACTTCCGTTTGAAAATACCCATTTTGACAGATGTTTGGTTGGTTGGTGCATAGAGTCTGTCGTAGGCAACTGTTTCAGGCCATATCATTTTAACGGCGGAGGCAGCTGTTCACGAAAACTTGAATTCAATGAATAAGGCGAGGGAATGCATTCCATGAGTCGCATCTGTAATCGAATCTGTATAGAGTTAAATATTTCAATTTTTGTTCGGCGTTTCGAAGTGTGCAAGGTGCTTAACTACCTTTTTTTTATTCGATGGGAAGTATCATCCCCCTTGTCCCCTGTGGATGTTATTATGCTGCCTAAGTAGCAAAAAGATTCCATGTTTTCAAGCGGAGATTCGTTGATGTGGATCGCGGTAAGGTTATTTGTTTTCACACTTAGCACTTTTGTTTTATATATGTTAGTATTAAACCTAGCTCTAGAGGAGTATGTGATCAATAACTGCAGCTTTGCTTCCATGTCCTCAGGCTTATGTGTCACTAAACAGATATCGCACCATATTTATTTCTCTCTTCAAAAAATAATAGTTATTTTTTAAGATTTTCGTTTTTAAGATAAGAATAAGAATAGTTTTTCCGTCATTAGTATAGGATTAGTTTTATAGCGTATGACCCTAAGTCTAGTCTAAGTACAAAGCATTTGTCAAAGATAAAATGGAATGGTGGGATTTAAGAATAAGTATATTAAAATTATCGGGCAATACTTAGCATTCAATCAGATATGTAGCTCAAGCATAATCTTGAATTCTTTTTGAAGAATATTATATAAAAGATCTAGAGAATTACAGAGACATTTTCATTTTAAGTGTAATTGCGAATACTTTTAAGTCAATTATTTCAAGTCGCCCTAATCAGTCTTTAAAAAAAAAACACCTTCTCTCTATAGTCGACAGCGTATTTGTATTAACATCTGTAATAAAAAAGGATTTTGTAAAACCGAAAAATAAATTTCACTCGTTCCGCAAGCCAAGTAAAATGGAAATATTTAGTTTAGTAACATCTTAACGCATTGCAAAGCCTATATAGTACCAACGAAATGGTTGTGTGGGATGAAAGAAGTATGTCCAAATGGTAGCAAGCAAACATTATTGTAAAGCAGAAATGTGTGTTTTTCTCACTCTTGTTTATTCTATATATGGACGGTATTACAATCATGCTCACGGGAGGTCTCCATTTTAGCAAACTGAAATG